GTCAAATCTGCCAAAAACCAGGACATGAAGCCATTAACTGCTGGCATCGGGCGAATTTTGACTCCTTCCCTGAAACAAAACCAAGGCAGCAGCCCAGGCGCGGTCAGCACCGTCGTGGACAGTTGCAGCGATCGGGCTCCAGTCGCGGCTCCTCACAGTCACCCACGCCTACGGCCTATCATTCCCAGCCTTCTCCTCCTGCCAATTTTCTGTCACCTCCTGCCCGGCATGCCTACACTGTTCAAAATCCTCCTTCCACTATAGTTGATCCTTGGTGTTTTGATTCCGGTGCAACGAATCATGTCACGGCAGACTTTGGTAATCTTTCTGTTCACTCTAATTACTCTGGCAATGAAGGATTACAAGTTGGTAATGGTATGTCTCTGCCCATAACTCACTTAGGACATTCGACTTTACAAGCATCGCATGCTCCCATTCATCTTAATAACATTCTCTTTGTTCCTCACATCAAGAAAAATTTACTTAGTGTTTCTCAACTAACCCGTGATAACAATGTTTATATGGTCTTTTATCCCACTTGTTGTTTTGTTAAGGACCTCCAGGGACGGACGTTGCTCACAGGACGCGTTGAGAACGGACTTTATCATCTCCAACAACCCTTGGACAAGCCCATTTCTCCTCACATTTATCTTGGTGAAAAGACGTCTCTTCAAACATGGCATCATCGCTTTGGACATCTCCACGAGTCATCTTTACGTCGTTTAGTCTCTCGTTTTAATTTACCTGTTTCCAGTAATAAATCACACAAACTTTGTGAACCTTGTCACTTAGGGAAAAGTCATAGACTTCCCCTACAACGTTTACATTCCTCTAGTTTACATCCCTTTGATTTAATATATTCTGATGTGTGGGGACCTGCACCCATAACCTCTTTTAATGGAAGTAAATATTTTGTTATTTTTGTTGATGATTGCACAAAATTTGTTTGGATTTTCTTTTTACACCAAAAATCTCAAGTTCTTTCTATTTTTCAATATTTTCAAGCTATGATTACCACTCAATTTAATACTAAAATCAAACAATTTCAATCTGATTGGGGTGGTGAATATAGATCTGTTTCCTCATATTTACAAACGTAAGGTATTATTCACCGTGTTTCCTGTCCTCACACTCAATCCCAAAATGGGGCAGCAGAGCGTCGCCACCGTACTATCGTTGAAAAAGGCTTGGCCTTACTCGCTCATGCTAATATGCCTCAATCATTTTGGGAACATGCTTTTCACACAAGTGTGTATTTGCATAATTGCACGTTAACCCCGCTTTTAAAAGACAAATCCCCCTTTGAATGTTTATATGGCAAACCACCCGACTACTCTTTTTTAAAATCCTTTGGGTGTCTTTGCTATCCTCTTTTACGTCCATATAATAACTCAAAACTTGAGTTTCGCTCTTCCCCCTGTATTTTTATTGGTTATAGTTCACAACATCGGGGTTATCAGTGTCTTCATATTCCTACAAACCGTATCTATATTGTCCGCCATGTTGTGTTTGATGAGACGTCCTTTCCGTATCAACTTCACGTCCACCATCCACCCCCCACTGCTGCCCCACCCTCCTCCCTTCCCTCTCTACAGCCGCTGCGACTGGCAGCCTCAACCCCACTGGCCGATAACTACCAGCCGCCTCCACCTCCCACCAGCCCTCTCACTAATGCCTCCTCATCACCCAACCATCAAACCACTGCCTCCCCTCCACCTCCCCTCCACTGTCCGACAGGGAACCATGTACTCTACCCGCGACCAGTCCGTCTCCATGCTCCAGTGATGCCCCTCCGTCTCCGCCAGGTCCCAAGCAAAACTCAGGTATCCCTCCTCACTCTATTCCCACCTATTTTAGACCTGTTGACACTTCAACTCATTCTATGGTCACCCGCTCAAAAACGAACACCCTCAAACCCAAGACTCATTTGTCTACCAAACATCCTCTTACTATACCCGCATCTATTCCTATTGAACCCAACACTTTTTCTCAGGCCTCCAAATATCCTGAATGGCAACATGCAATGCAGGTTGAGTATGATGCTCTAATAAAAAATGGGACTTGGGATCTTATCTTACCTCCTCGTAATTCTAACATTGTTGGTTGTAAGTGGGTGTACAGGGTTAAAAAGCACGCTGATGGCACGATTGAGCGCTACAAAGCTCGATTGGTTGCAAAGGGCTTTAATCAGGAAGAAGGAGTTGACTACTCTGACACTTTTAGTCCGGTGGTAAAACCCACCACAATTCGTATTGTATTATCTCTTGCTCTCACTTTTGGTTGGAAGTTACGACAGGTTGACATTGCCAATGCTTTTCTTAATGGGGATCTCAGTGAAACAGTGTATATGGCTCAACCTCCTGGCTTTGTGGATCAATCTCGTCCTGGGCATGTGTGTCTCTTGCGCAAGGCATTATATGGTCTCAAGCAGGCCCCTCGCGCCTGGTTCCATAAGATTCGTCAGTATCTCTCTCATCATCATTTCCGACCCTGCACATCGGATACATCACTTTACATTCGACGCCATAATGGTACCACTCTCTATGTTTTAGTTTATGTAGATGACTTAGTCATCACTGGTTCCAATTCTTCTGAGATTGATGCCTTTGTCACTAGTCTCAATGCTACATTTACTTTACGTGACCTGGGTGACTTGCATTACTTTCTTGGTATTGAATTACATCGATCCACTTCATCTATCTTTTTGAGCCAGCAGAAGTACATCACAGAACTGCTTATTCGCAGCAAAATGCAGGATGCCCGATCTATTCTCTCCCCTGCCGAACCAGGTTCACGACTCTCGGCCTCAGGAGACCCAATGGATGATCCTCATCTCTACCGCAGCATTGTTGGTGCCTTGCAATATGTTACTATCACTCGGCCAGAGATTTCTTATGCAGTTAATCGTGTTTGCCAATTCATGCATGCTCCCACAGTAACTCATTGGCAAGCTGTCAAGCGCCTTCTACGCTATCTCAAGGGGACCATTACCACTGGCCTACACCTTCGGCCATGCACGGATAATCGTATTGTAGCCTTTTCGGATGCAGGTTGGGCTTCCGATATTGATGATTGTCGCTCTCAGCATGGCTTTGCCGTATATTATGGTGGCAATTTAGTTAGTTGGGCCTCCAAGAAGCAGCATGTTGTTGCCAAATCCAGCTCTGAAGCCGAGTATCGTGCCATTGCCTTCACCTCCACAGAGTTAATCTGGATACAACAGCTTCTACGTGAGCTACATGCCCCTCTTCATGCTCCACCGATTCTTTTGTGTGACAATCTCAGTGCCACTTATATGACTGCCAATCCGGTTTTCCATCAACGATCCAAACATATCAAAATTGATTACCATTTTGTTCGCGAACAGGTTGCTGATGGGTCTCTTGTTGTTCGTCACGTTCGTGCCTTGGATCAGGTTGCCGATATCTTCACCAAAGCTGTTGGGAATTCACGCTTTCAAACTCTCCGTTCCAAGCTCCATGTCGCGTTGCCACCTTGAGCTTGCCGGTGGGTATTAAGGATATTATTTTATGTAATCAAAAATAATTATTAAATAAGTGTTTAAGGAGAAATATAATAAATTTCAGTTTTCTTTCAAAAAAAATGTGCTCAAATATTCATTTGTGTAACAATGAGAAATATAATAAATTTCAGTTTTCTTTCAAAAAAAAAATCCAGTTTCAAAATAATATATAATTTGTCATTCTTGAATTACAAAATTAATCATATTCTTTTATAATGTTTACTCATGCACATTTATTTTTTACAATATATTCATTTCAGTATAACACAAAACTCATGTTAATAATGAGCACACAATATTAAAATAATTAACACACAAAATTTATTAAACTAACAAATATTCATCTCATAATTAAAATAGAAAAAAAATTGATACCTAAAATATTTTATATGCACAATTTAAAGAAATACTTAAGTTATAAAGGAATGTCAGTTAGAAAAAGAAAAAAAAGAAAACAGGAACGTTAATTTGCAGATTTTGTATTGCAAATATTTATAAATTAAAATTAATGGAAAAATTTGTTAAGGAAAAGAAATAATACACGGAGAACCAAGCATTCCAGCTCAGCTGGTTGTGAGGTTACCGTGTCTATTAGGATGTCTCGAGTTTGAAATCCGCTAGGCACACAAAGGTTTGAAACTCAATGGAGTGAGTTTCAACACTGATTACTCCAGGCCACCCCCAGCCCCCTCCCCCCAGACCCCCTTGGAGTAAAAAAAAAACGCGGGGATTGAACAAAGAATACGCAGATAAAAGTTGTTAAGGAAAAGAAAGAATATTGAGGCACGCAGGGAAAATATAGGAAGAATAAGCACTCAAGAACTAAATTGACATTCAAATTAGAAAGAATTACAAAAATACCTGGGTGTACATGTACAACCGGGTGTACGGTATAACGTTTGCAAAATTTCTTTCACTCCGAATTTCTTCTATGTTTTCCTCCCTTTTTCTCTTTCTCTAGCATTTTCCTATGAATTTAAAACAATACTCCCCATTTTTAATATAGCTCATCTTTTACTCTTATTTAGGGAATACATTCGAGAATTTGTCCTAAATAGGAATAGATTCAAACATAGATGCATAGATAGAATCCGTTGTTTTTAATTTTATTCCATAAATAGTACTACCTCCGTCCCCGTATTATTGTGTCATTGCAATTTACAATGTTTGACCAATGATAAAACAAACGGATCCCTTCGCACCCAATTTTTTTTAGAAAAAAAATTACATATTTAGAAACTACATTAAAAGCTTTACAAAATCGCAAAAACGAAAATCAAATTTGATAAAAAATTGATACATAAAGTAAGAGATTATGAGTGATTTGTGTTAAACAAATGAATAGGAACTCGGATAATAATATGGGGACGGAGGGAGTACTAAACATTACCTTTCTACCCCTAATCGAAATAATTCATGTAGTTAATTGTCCCCTAGTTTCATTGCATTACCAAAGTCAATTTGTTGGTACTGGCAGGCTGGCGGTGGTGGTGACAAGTTAGATATTTCTGGAGATAGGCGTGGTGGAGCTCCGACGATCGCATAGGCGACGGGAGGCGGTGGCCGGCAGTGGCCGATAGGGGCAGCTAGCTGGGGGCACTTCAAAACTTGTAGGAGTATAATTAGGGGTGCAAACGAGCCGAGCCGAGCTCATACATGAGTATGCTTGAGTTTGATATAAATTCACGATCTCATGTTCGACTTCAAGCTTGAATGAGTTACATAATTCTAGCTCGAGCTCGGGTCAAGTTTTGCTAAATATTTTTTTATAGGTTTGAGCTTGAATAAGATGCTCGAACTCGAGCTTGAATTCAAAGTAAAAACAAAAATTCTATTTTCAAATTATTAATATTACACTTTTGCGTCATCTATCTCACATCTTCTTCAATTCTCTGCCTCGTCGCTTTTGAGTTCCAAAAAGTGATGCAGACATCCAAACTTTTTGGATTCAATTGGATTGTTCTTCTCTTCTGATAGTGTTGATTTTGTTCTGTGGCGGTTCTTTCTCGGGCACTGGTGCTCTGGGGTGATTTGTTTCTCTTGATGTGAGGAGTTCTGTTGGTGTCTCGGCTAGCTTCATCCGATAAGAGGTTTCTGTCTGCTTTCTTCTAGACTGCGTAGACATTGGTAGTGTAACACCCCCAAATTTCCTTCCCAAAATAATACTTAGAATCACAGAATTTGTTTATTGAAAATAAACATTCAAAAGTTATGCAGCGGAATATAACATAGAACATGGGTGTTTCACCGCCACATTCAGCCTTTATAACTGAATGCTAAGGCTATCCACCATTATTAAATATAACTTCAATAAAAGTAAAGAGTTTCTAGCTCATTATTTAAAATATTATACATTACTTTTATTTCTAGATTTTCTAAGTTGCGCTCTCGAAGTTCGTCATTCGTCATATTCATCACCTGAAAATTTACACAGAGAAAAGAGAAAATAAAAAGAAACTAAAATTAGCTTTTGCTAAGTAAGATTCCACCCAACCCCGTAAAATAATATAATTTGGAGAAAATATCTATATTTTGTATATATGCAGACTATAGATTGAAATATTATATATATTTGAATATTATAAATCAAATAATTGTCATAATAACCAATAGAGCATTCAAAGATAATCCAATGTCTCATATCATATGTATATATTAGAAAAATAGTAAGAATTCTAAAGTTGACCTTTTCTCCACAGATTCTAAAGTTTCTTTTAAAGATGGGCGAAACTCAAGATTCTTTGAGTCCAATGAGTTCTAAACAATGACAAATAATTTAAAATTTTCTTTTCTTAACCTATTCAAAATGATTTATAATGTCGGCAATTACTTTTTGTGGCATGTATGTACGAGTGTGCATGAGTAAGTATTAGAATTGTGAAGATGTCCTTTTCGAGTCTGTTCATATTTTCTTTCATTTTAAAGTCATCAACTTGATTATAAATCTCATGGGTTGTAGTAACAAGGAATTTCAACAGTCATTCAAGGATCTGAAAGAGAAAGCAGAGGAGTTGATCTAGGAGCTGGAGAAGTTGCAGCTAGCTGCCTCTTCATTGGCCAAAATAGTTGTCTTTGCATTGACAAGTGTACCAGTGATCTAGTAGCTTTTTGTTCTTTATTATTTTTTGCTGCTGGGTATGCCCCTTTTATTAATTTAGCATGTACATTCACATGTGTGTGAGAATTTTAGATATAATAAAAATGTTTGAAATTTTGGTTATTTATTAGTACTAAATTATATATGTGTGTGTACATATATATTGCAATCAATGTATCATGTGTATGCTTTTGGAGTGTTGAAACAATACAAAATAAAGTGATACCAAACAATACAAATCAATGTATCATGTGTATGCTTTTAGTGTCACTAGAGTATATGATGTAAAAGTGTCGTTGAATAGCTATGTCACCAATGTGTCACTATATTGTGATATTGTAGTGTCACAATTCTGTGACACTTGTAGTGACACTTAAAAAGTGTCACATGTAGTGTCACTAGCCCCCACTTTCAGCGACACTTTTTTAGTGTCACAGAAACTTTCAGTGACACTAATTTGGTGTCACTGTAAAACATTTTTCTAGTAGTGAAAGGAAATAATATCTAAACACAAATCTTTATGGGTGATGATCTTCCCTCTAAAAGAACTTCAATAAAACAGCAAGAACAGAAGTATACAATCTAAAGAGCTTGTAGTAATATTGCAATTGATTGAATTGGCTGAATGAGATTAAATTGGTGAAATTACGGGCAAAGTGGCTGAATTATGAAAGATTCACATTTACTCCGTCAAATATATTTCATTAATAAATAAATAAATAAATAGATGAAAAATAGCCAAAGTAGTTGGATTGAACAGTTATAATCAGAAAAGTAATTCTAATCTTACGATTGAAAAATTGAAAATATGTGTTATCAAATGAGGTGTAAGATCAGGTTGGTAAAGCTATCTGCAATGAAAGGTGTGAAACCCCTAAATGTGAGTTCTTACCCTAAATGTGCTCCATTCCTGAGGACCATCCATAATGAACAATTATGTAAGAGGATGTAAGTTGAACTTTGAATTCAGAAAAGAGAAAATGATTCTATCTCAAATCATTGATTGAAGTTGAACTTATGACCTCTGTGTTGTGGCCTAAGAGGGGCAACCATGGGGTGAGAATGTAGTGCCTTTATTCACCCTAGGAGAGAGGAGTGTTTGGTGGCAGGTCTCGAGGCACAACAAGGAAGAGTTCAAATTAAAATCTCAATTTTCTTTTTCTTTTTTAATTTCTAATCTAACTTTTATAAAAATTATATCAAGATTTATAACTTTTATTATATTTTATATGATGCAATAGTTTAATATATAATTTTTTTTTCAAAATAAGAGGTTTCAACGGTTGCAGTTTTTTAGATTCAAAATTTTTCTTACATAGATTCAAGTGCTAGAATTGATATATTATGATTATAATTTTTGTTTATATCTTTCAATTATTGTTTTTAAATAGGTTTGAAGCAAAAAATTAAACTCCAAACTTATTTAATTTTACATAAAAAGCTTTACTTTTCGAGTAATAACTATTTTCAAAAAAGGAAATTAGAGAAAAATTAATGTAAATAATAAAAGTAAGGATTTAATTAAAAACACTTCATCCAAAGAGAAATCTAAATAGATTGAATAAGAACAAATTGGCAGAGAATAAATTAATTTAGTGCCGTGGAGGGTTGGAGTTAGAATGTTTTTGATTAGACATTTTTCAATTATAGATCAGATCAGAGGAGATTTGACCAGATCAGACCAAACACCACGGTTGACGGTACCAAACCACATCAAACTACGTGTGAAAAATTCAATTCATATTGAAATTTAAGCAGAGTGCGGACTACATATTGATTTTGATCGAACGTATATTTCAAGGGTCAGTCATGATGTACAGAAAATGTGTACATTGCGTGTGTACATAGACAATTAGAGGATTTTTGACATCAAATCATGCCCTTTTTTAAACAAAGTATCTATATACACAAACAACTAGAGGTTTTGTGTACCTTTGTATACGATAAGAATTTTCCATATTTCAATTCTTCCTTTATTTGTGGTTAAAATAAAAGAATGGGCCCTGAGCTTATCCTCTTGCATAATCCATCATCTTGTACCGACTGTCATGGGAAGCTAAGAAAGAGTGACAGAACAACGTGGGGGTGGGCGGTGGGTGGGTAACTGGCTATAATAGCAGCAGCAGCAAATTAAATACTACTGCACCAAATTGCTCACCCAATCAAATCCCTACTCCTTCCCGGCCAATAGCTAGCCACTCTTGGATCGTCATTTGTCGGCTGGCGATGGCGGAAGAAGCAGGATGTTGGCCGACGCGCCTCTTCTCTAATTTCCTGCTGCTGTCTTTCATAGTAACATTGGGCCTAACGGAGGCGAGCTCCTCCGGGGGGCCGGTGTTCGCGTGCGACACCGAAAAGAACCCGGGCTTGAAGGCGATGCGGTTCTGCAACCCGGCGGTGGACGTGAGAGGGCGGGTGGGAGATCTGGTGGGGAGGCTGACGTTGGCGGAGAAGATCACGCTGTTGGGGAACAGCGCGGGGAACGTGAGCAGGCTGGGGATTCCGGGATACGAGTGGTGGTCGGAGGCCTTGCACGGCCTTTCCTACACCGGGCCGGGAATCAATTTCAGCAACCCTGCGGTGCCGGGTGCCACCAGCTTCCCCCAGCCCCTCCTCACCGCTGCCTCTTTCAATGTGACCTTGTTCCGGGCCATCGGGCAGGTGATTTCGACGGAGGCGAGGGCGATGCACAACCTGGGGTTGGCGGGGTTGACTTATTGGTCCCCCAACATGAACATCTTTCGGGACCCGAGGTGGGGCAGGGGGCAGGAAGTTCCCGGGGAAGACCCCACCCTCACCGGGAAGTATGCTGCGGCCTTTGTGACAGGGCTGCAACAAAGTGATGAGGCCGGGGGCGCAGAAAAGCTCAAGGTGGCTGCTTGCTGTAAACATTACACTGCCTACGATTTGGATGACTGGAAGGGCTTCCAGAGATACAATTTCAACTCTGTGGTATGTATGTATATATGTTGCGACCACGCCATTTATTTATTCCTGTTTTGTTTTGGTTGGAGTCGTGCAGCCATTTCCATCTTTTTAAATTCTCATCTACACTTCCCTTTACCTCAAACAACTTCATCTCCCCCCTTGTTCAATTCTTTCTCTCAACCAAAACAATCGTCAATAAAATGTCATATAAAAAGCAATCGGATGAGTCAAAACGACTCGTTGACAAACTCGTAATTCTGATTTCAGCGTACATATGACTATCTTTTTTAAATAGATTATAAGTCCGACGTGAAATATTTGATCACGATTGCCTTAAATACAAGACAAAAATAACGACACATAACCTAAAATCGGAATTATGAGGTTGTAAACGGCTCATTTTGACTCATCTGATTGCCTTTTATAAGTAGACGTATTTATATGACACTTTATTGAGTACATGACCTTACGTGATGATTCTGTAATAGTACAAGGCCTTATTTGACCTTTTTTTCTATTTTTATGATATGTATAATATGTATTGATGTCTTATATTTGTGTATATTTTATAATTACGGAAGTCTGGTCTAATATGTTTAAGTCTATCTGGGTTGGTCTTTTTAAGTAGAAACATCTTGTTTCACGTCCTTGCAAATATTTTTGTTTGTTTTCCATCCTTGTAATATCACTGTTGTTTTTAGTGTATCTTCAACTCCGAAATCACTCTATTTAGAAAACAATTATTGTAGATTGCATAAATCTACTACAACCTTTTAAATTTACCTTTTCTAATTTTTTAAAATACGTATGTTTTACATTTTATAAAATATTTATAGGTCTTGAAATTTATATTTTGTATTTTATGATTTTAGATTTTAGCAACAAGGTCATTTTAAATATAAAATACTCCCTCCGTCCCGTTGTAATGTTCCTGCTTTCCTTTTTTGGATGTCCCGTTGGAAAGTTTCCATTTCCCTAAATGGAAAGTTATACTACATAAAAACAGGGTCAAACAGTGCAAAACAGTGTCAAACAGTGTCGAAACAGTGCCAAACAGTGTCGAAACAGTGTCGAAACAGTAAAGTTTATCTCCTGGTAAGTTTATTTCTTTAATATGTGTGTAGGTCAAACCGAGAACATTCCAACGGGACAGAGGGAGTATGAAATATAAAATAGAAATTGATACATAAATTGTAAAATATATAAAATACAAAATTGTAAAACATAAAATATATAACTTAAAACATAATAATTTTCATAATCTAAAACATAAATGTCAAATATAATATAAAAATATGAACTATTAAATAAATTATAAACTATTAAATTATAATTAAAAAATATGAATAATGAATTCAAAAATCTAAAATTAGAAATTATAAAACACAAATGGCTCCCTCCATAGTTATATATAGTTGCAAGTTTCAACATATAGCCTTTTGGTTAATACTAGTATTTAAATACTTGCAAATTTACCATTTTGGGTAATCTACTCATCTAAAAATACTTAAATGCTTGTAGGGAGTACTTTTACACTTCTTCTGTACTATTTACTACCCGTACTATCTCACTCTAACTGTGGTAAGCTTAATGTGGCAACTTTATGAGTATACAGGAAGTATCCAAGATAAAATAGAAAGTCAATATATAATGCCTAAAACATAACATTTTACAAAACATAAAATATATTATACTCCCTCTGTCCCTTATAACTTTGCCAACTTTTCTTTTTTGGTTGTCCCAAAAACTTTGCCACTTTCCCTTTTAATCAATCAATTTGTGGCTCCTGTTCTTTCTCTCTCCTCTGCACAAATTTCTACCACACAATTTTTACTTTATTAATCTACGTGCCGGTCAAACATGGCAAACCTTTAAGGGACGGAGGGAGTATAAAATACAAAAATGAAATTACAATATAAAGTACAATATTATCTTATTTTAAATTTAATTTACTTTTTGAATTTACTGATAAATATAAAAAATTTACTTATACTTTTTTTTACAAGTGTTTATATTGTTCTATTTGCTATTTTGAATTTATCCCAATGTTTACACTTTTTTACACTTGAGGGGCAAATTTAACAACTCATATGATCAAAGAATTTGAATGTTCTTTGTCATATGTTATATGCACATGTGGCATCTTATTGATTGACAGATCAGGATGTTTACTTATGTAACAAAAAACTTGAATCATCATTGATAGGAGTTAAGGGTGTAAATTGATGTTTTTTTAGTTTAGGCGCCGAATTGAACAATTGTAAATTCGTAATGGATATTGAGGCATATTTGATCCATTAGCCCTTCAAAAAATGCAATTCAATGTTGAAGAGCTACAAGATGATGGATGTGTTAATAAGTGTAGACACATAATTTTAATCCTTCGATAGTTGGCACATAAGTATTGGCATATAAGATTAAGTCTTTGCTCAATCACTTGCTCTCAAAGATTTAAAGTGCGACACATAAGTTTAATCCTTCCATAGTTGGCACACTTTTGTACATCACCCTTATTATTAAATAATGTGATAATCGTACTCTTTCGCCAACTCGTTCGCATTTTGTTGTTTCTCAAGATCTTGTTTACGAAACTTTCTATCCATTCGAATATTCGATGCCTCTCTCCCAAATTTTTAGGCTTCGATCGGTATGACATCTGAATCCATCGCTTTTTTCACCCATCTTTCTCGGAGCATCTCTAGCATCTATCATTTGAACCCTTCTCATACAATCCCGATTTACGATACAATCTAGTATAGTAAGATCATTAATATTTTGCACATCTCTTTTATTTCCTCATCCTCCATTAGTATCTTTGATTGATATCCTTCACACACTTAACTTTTCTTATATCTTGAGTCATGCGATCATGAAGACAAGCATGTGTATATATATCATTCACGGATTTCTTAGCTTTTCATCATTTGACTTTTCCCCTATTTCTTGTAACATTACCTTTGGTTCCTTATGACTTGTTTCACTTCATCATTCCATCAAGATGTTTCCCTTTTTTTATTGTAGATATCCTTTAGATTCCCCAAGTATTTCATTTACCACTTTGTTAAAGTTTCGCTCCATTGATAATCACACATTCTCCACATGTGAGTTATTACTAATATACCATACATCTTCACAAAACATTTTTTGTGCACACACATTTGTAAGACATCCTTTTTTAGGCTTCACCATTTTATTTTTGACTCCACTTGTTGCTTAATCTTTATCTTACATCAAAAGTTAAGCATAAGTATTCTAATGTGAGTGACAACACTCTCATCTGGGGTAACCTCACCATCTGTGTAGTTTTCTCGAAGTAGTCCGTACTAAGAAGTCAACTTGGGTATTATTGGTTTCACTTCTATAGATCACATGATGAAAGTCTCTTTTCTTGAACCAAATGATCATTATAGCCAACTCATACAACAACATTAACCTAGTGCCGCAAAGGCTCTCACGTTCGGACGGTTTGGATGTATGCAGCCTTACCCATGTACTAAAGCTTGGAGATACCATTTCCAGATGACACATGATGAAAATCGCGTTGAAAATTGCATGAACTTACCGTTGCTTCATAACAAAGAAGCGCACACAATTTAGTGAACCATTTTGCTTTATTCCATCATATTCCCAAGTAAAAAAATAGTGAGTCTTTGACTCCATCAGAAATGATAGAAGTATATATTGCCAACTCATACGTCGAGGCAAAATCCAATCGATTCTCCTAAATCTTCACAATTCTTTGGACACTTTGTGCAATCACTCACTCAAAATTTCATGGCGTGACTCATAAATTTAATCTCTCAATAATTGGGATTATATAATGTTTTCTATATTATATTAGTTTTCAATTATACACTAAACATGTAATTAAAAATTAAAACTAAGGACGTGAAAATTCCTTAGACTTACATTAATGTGTCCTTGTAGGGGAAGTGATGTCAATGCATTTTAATTCCATGCAAATAAAAATGTGTGCCTTTGGATTTATTTGACCAGGTAACAAAACAAGATATGGCTGATACATATCAGCCCCCGTTCGAGTATTGTATTCGTGAGGGAAAGGTGGCGAGCGTGATGTGTTCGTACAACAAGGTGAACGGTAAGCCTGTCTGTGGTGACTATGACCTTCTCGCAGGTGTTATTAGAGGCCAGTGGAAATTGAACGGGTAAATACATGTGTGTGTATTTCATGACAATAGCAAGCATAGTTTATCACTGCAGTTGGTTTCAAACCTGGTGTTAAAAATGCGAATGTTAATGTTGCAGATACATAGTAACAGATTGTGACTCTTTTAACGCCATGTACAATTACCAACACCTCACCAAAACACCAGAGGAGGCTGCAGCTTTGGGTTTAAATGCAGGTTTATTTTCGACTATCCTGTATAAATATCTCTGTCTAGTCTAGCTTCTGGTAAAACAGGCTGATGATCAGGTTTAGAACTGAAAGTCAGCTGATTAGTGATGATGTTAAACCAGTAACTTATACTCCCTCCATCCCATAATTGAACATGCATATGGGATTGACATGTTTTTTGTTAAATAAAAGAGATAACCACTATTATAACATTTAAACCTTTGAATTGGATGGAAGTTCACAAGGGCTGCGAAAAATGGAGTTCAAAGAAGTTCTGGTAAAGGATTAAGAAAGTGAAAACATCAATGGAGTTTAAATTAGGAAAGAGGAGATATAACAAAAAAAAGAATAGTATAGTTCCTTATTGTATACCGCTATTAAGAGTAAATTTGTCATTTTATCTCACTTTCTTAATCTTTTTGCCAAAGGTTTGGACACTTTTAATTTGGAAGGGAGAGAAGTGTATTACTCCCTCCGGTCCTTAAGAAGTTTACACTTTCTTTGACTTCACACATATTAAGGAAATAAATTTGACCTACTGTAGAGTACACTGTTTGAACACTGTTTGTTGTAGATTTGTTTGCCAAATAAGGCAAATAAAGAAGTGTAAAGTTTAATATGGGACGGTCCAAAAAGGAAAGTGTAAAGTTAATTAAGGACCGGAGGGAGTATGTTCTAGTCTCCATTTACAACTTCTGATGATGCTACTGTAGTGCAATAGTTGTCATCAACATTAGCGAACTATTCAAGGTTCAGAATGGAGCATGGTAAGGTGTTCACTGATGGTCCAGTGTCTCTGTAGTTTTAGGCTAAAAATATAGGCTTATATTCCCTTTTGTAAGGGCAGACAAGAATTAAGTGGAGGCTTATATTCCCTTCGTATAGATTGATTAAAAGAAGGTTGTAATAATGTACTCTCTTCATCCCAAAGTAATCTTCCCGGTTTGACTCGACACACTTAATAAAAAAGTGAGAATAAAGTGAAAATGTATGGTTGTGCTTGAGTAAGAAAAAGGTAAATGAGTGTTAGCCACACAAATCTTTTCATAAAGGGAAATGTGAATTTTTGGGACATCCCAAAATGGTAACTCGGAAGAAGTTTTTGGGACAGGTAGTATTATAATGTTCATTTAAGTTGTGGAAATTTGTGAATTAAGTATCAAGTGTGATGTTGATTGTATTAGTCAGTTTGTTATTGTAATGAAATGATGGAAATGAAATAGGTGTGGATCTGAATTGTGGACCATTCCTGGCCAAGTACACGCAAGGGGCAGTAGATCGAAAACTAGTGAAGGAATCTGAGATTGATAGAGCAATCTCCAACAATTTGGCGACTCTAATGAGAGTTGGGTTCTTTGATGGTGATCCAAGAAAGCAATTCTATGGAAAGCTTGGGCCGAATGATGTGTGCACTGAGGCCCACCAGGAGCTGGCCCGTGAAGCTGCAAGGCAAGGAATGGTATTGTTGAAAAATAGTGCTGGTTCCCTTCCTCTATCCCGCAATGGCATCAAGTCCTTGGCGCTTATTGGGCCCAACGCTATCAACCCCTACACGATGCTTGGAAATTATGAAGGGAAGCCATGCAAGTACACAAGTCCATTACAAGGCTTAACAGCGATGGTTAGTAAGACAGAATATGCATCAGGATGTGATAACATCAAGTGTGGGACGGCGGTGCTGGATGACGCAAAGAAGATAGCATCAGCGGCCGATGCAGTGGTCCTAGTTATGGGTTCCGATCAGTCTATAGAAACAGAAGCCAGGGATAGAGTTAATCTAACACTTCCAGGACAACAGTCATTTGTGGTGTCGGAGATAGCCAAGGTTTCCAAAGGTCCTGTCATCCTTGTTCTCATGTGTGGAGCTGGCATGGATGTGTCATTTGCCGTTAAGGACCCTAAAGTCACGAGCATTCTTTGGGCCGGATTCCCTGGTGAAGCTGGCGGGGCCGCCATTGCAGATGTTCTGTTTGGATATCATAATCCAAGTATGTTACTCCCTCCCCATTCATTCCTTCCTTCACTCTCGATCTCATTCATTCATTCTCTCATTCATTCCGTCTTCCTTTTGTGTGCTCAGGTGGAAAGCTACCAAACACATGGTACCCGCAATCATTTGCTGACAGTGTTTCAATGGTTGATATGCGGATGAGACCCGACCCGAAAACTGCCTATCCCGGACGCACTTACCGCTTCTACACCGGTTCAGTCCTTTTCAAGTTTGGGTATGGGTTAAGCTACACCAAGTTCAAACACACCTTGGTCCGTGCTCCGGAATCGGTTTCCCTTTCCCTCAAACCAGGGCATTTCTGTCAATCCACAACCTGCGAGTCTATCGAGACCACAGATGAAATCTGCACAGGTTCCGCGTTTGACTTTCAGCTGAGTGTCAAGAATGTGGGGACTGTGAGCGGGGCCCACACGGTTCTCTTGTTCTCCTCACCCCCGGCTGTCCACAACGCGCCACACAAACAGCTGGTGGGGTTCGAGAAAGTGGGTTTGATTCCAAGCCAAGAAGAGATGGTGACGTTCAGCTTGGATATTTGCAAGCATTTGAGTGTGGTGGATGAGTTTGGGAAGAGGAGAGTGGCGTTAGGACCTCACGTTCTTCACGCTGGCAATCTCAAACACTCCTTGAATGTGAGAGTTTGATCGGGTTGAAGGCAAAATAAAATAACTTTGCGATAGAGTCCCACAAGTTAGAGAACGGGATGAGTTTGAAGGCAAATTATAAAACTTTCTCCATTCTCCATTCTTTCGAATTTGTGTCTCATCAAGGATTATTTTTTTAGCTTACTTCCATTATTATTCATAACTTGCTTCTTAAATTTGTTTAGTTCCATTTCCAAAAATAATCGTTTACTAGCAGGTTGGGGTCAGGGTGTACTCGCTTCCGATCTATAACCGGGTTAGGGTTGGACTCGGGTCGGGTGGCCCGACCCGGAACCGGCCCGGGACCGGTACTGTTCCGGCCCGGCCCGAACCGGTGGCCCGGTCAGTGACCGGTCCGGGTAGACCCGACCCGGTGGGTTTCCGGTCTGGGCTCGGGTCACCCATAACAAGGCCCGGCCGGGCCCGGGCCCGGTTTGGGCCATTTTGTTTTTCTTGGTTTTTTTCATTTGTTTGGGCTCCACCGGGTTGGGCTTGATGTTTAGGAGGGGTTTGGGGGGTTTGGGGGGTGGGGGTGAGGGGGGGTCAGGGATGGGTAGCTAAGCAAAAAAAAATAAAAATAAAATAACCAAATCCTAGGCCCGGCCCGAGTCCAACCATTAACCGGGTAGGTAAATTCTCCAAATTGGGACCACTACATCATGACAACTCTTTTTACTTTTGACTTAATGGATTTAACAAGAAAATTCATTAACCAGAAAGTCCAATAATATTTATTTTTGGACTGAAATTTGGTGATATCTGGTACATGTCAGGTTTCTATGTATTGTATAACTATGAAAGTCTGGTCTGATATGGTCTGGTCTGAGATTGAAAACATCCTAAGGGTTTTTTTTAATTAGATTGATTTTTTTTTGAATTGGTTCAGTCAATATATATTTTATAACTATACAAGTCTTGTCTGACTAAAAACACCTCAAATAAAAACATCATTAATCATTCTGTCATTCCTCCATTAAGTCGTGTTTACATATGACTTAATTGAAAGTATGATTTACTCATTCAATCAAAAACTAACTTAATCATTAAGTTGGAAACTAATAGTTCCTGCCATTAAGACGTCTATTAAAATGTCTTTTCTATTAATTTTTTAAATCAATTTTGGAATAGATTTATGTTAATAAATAAAATTCTCCATTGACATTATAATATTAGAATAATACTAAATTGATTCTTTTATTCAACTTAGGTGGTTTATTCAGCCCACAAAATTATCAATTTCATGTACAAATATCACTTAATGTAAATAGACATCATAATCGAGGTAGACGTCTTAATATAGAATAGACTTAATAGGAAAAGAAAAGTAAACAACCCCTAAACTAGTCTCTTGGGTTTAGTTCCCATTTGAGATACATTTCCGATACTGCCGGTTCTTGTCTAGTTCAATTCCAAATATATACTTCTCCCGTTTTTAAACAAGTGCAACATATTGAAGTTTACACTATTTACATATTCTACTTTGACTACTACGTATATTTTAGGCCTTATTTTATGAATATTACTAAATTATATACAAAAGACAAAAATGTGACTTGTTTCAAAATTTTCCTAAAATGTGACTCACCATATTATTTAGCCCTTATTTAATATATACTCCATTATTACATTTATTATTATGATAATAATAAATAATTATTATTATGATATTCCATTATTATAATTATTAATTAGTCAATGACATCTAGCCACCCCAATGACCGCCATCACCATCACCGTCATCGCTGCTGCCATAGTGACTTTGTTGCATACCTTCTAATCTCCGGTGACTATTGCACAGTGACTTTATTGTACTACCTTCTCCAATTTCTCCATTCCCTGGCATCTCATAGTGACTATCGGGCTCAGTGACACTATATAGTGACTTCAACCCTATTCACTTTAATTGGGTAGTGACTCTAGTCACTGCTAATCTCGACCACATTCCTATGGTAGTGAGTGTAGGCACTCCTAAATCATCACATTTCACACCACGACCCAATAAACTCCACCGCCCCCAGCCAAACAACCACAGCCGCCCATTCAAAAACCCACCGTCGGCACTTCCCTGCAACAAAAGTCGTGGTCGTGAACAAAAACACTGGCGAAGACAAATGACCCTTGGAGCCCCTGCACAAAAAAACTAAAATCAATTCGTCGAACATCAACACCCGCGAAGACGAACGACCTAGGGCTTCGGATTTGGAACTAGAGGCGGCAGTGTTTTAATTTGGTAAAAGAAGAAAGGAGGAGGAGAAGATTATCAGAGTTGTGGCGGCGGGGGGGGGGGGGGGGGGAGGAGCAATAGTGACGACAATCGTCAATACACAAGAGGAGGCATGGAGAATGCATAGCAGTTGGCGATTTTGCTAGGCGAAGCTTCGGTGCGGTACTAGGCAGAGCTAGACGGCGGTGTGAGATGACCGTCGACGAGGCTAGGCGGTGGTTGGATATCAGCGAAATCAGGGAACGAATGAGTTATTTCCGATGATGTCGAAAAAACTTGTTATTTGAATGAGTTGTGCGCATGATTATTAAAAGATAAAACCCTTGATTTGAATGCAGAATGTGAAAACGTAATTTCCAAAGTAGAAGGGTGGATGGATAAGGGAATGACTTTAATGAAGAAAGAAAATGACAGGAAGTACGGATGCGAGAAACTGCTTTTAAACGGATTACACCTCAATGATAAATGTGTTGAAGTCACTTTTTTAGAAAAAAATGTAAAGAGTCATATTATTGGAAATGAAAAGTCCATTAGTAATATAGGTGTCATTCTTTCTATATTTTATTTATTAATGTATTAATAAATTATTTAAAAAAATCAAAATCTATTTTTCTAATTTTTGAACGATTGAGAATTATATATATTAACGGTCAAAGTTGTGCATTGATAAACATGAAAAGTGGAATGTTGCACTTATTGAACAATTATTAAATAGTGTTTTTTTATATTACTTCTGTCTCAATATATTCTGACAACTTTTCTAATTTAGTTGTTCTAAAAAAATACTCCGTATGTCATTTTTAAAACTCCCCTTCTCCACAAAATTTTAACGACTTTTTATTTTCTTATTTCAAGTGAAGGACAAGTTTGATCAACTTTTATAGATTAGAGAGAGTATATGTGATTGTTTATGTTATATAGCAATATAGGGGTGGATCAATTATATTCCGAGTTTTAAGGACAATCCTGTCCTTGGGTACTCCACCATAACCTATGATCTATGACATATCATACTTATATATGGTCTATACCATAATCAATATACATGACTAAACCAAGTCATATAACCTAAGCACAACAATCAATGCAAAACCATGCAAATAAGTCAAATTGGGCAAAACAGGGCCTAACCGATGCCAGTTCTGCATATAACCGGCGCCGGTTCCATTATTTTCAGTTTGGAACTCGGCACCCGAGACCAAACCAGCACCGGTTTTGGGCCTGAGAGAGAGCAATCCGACATCAGCCAACGGTCAAATACACGGTTAACGCCTCGTTGACTACCCAAAGGAAACTCTGATTGCCAAGAAACTTGAACACAATGTGTATTAAGTCGTAAGCAATCAATATATGTCATTTTGATCATTCAAAATATCGCATATGTTTTTATATGCATTTTAGATCATTTATATGCATATTCCACTAGCTTAACTCATATAAGACTAATCACCTTGGCTAATCACATGCTTAAACTCATTTATACATCATTATGAACACATATAACATTTCTTTAGGTAATTTCATACTTAACCCAAGAAATATAAGACATTAAGCCGTCGACTCACCTTAAATGAGCTTTAAGAAGTTCTACCCTCTTAGGTTGGCATCCGGTGAAACTCCGGCGAACTTCGGTGGAATCCGGCGATACCTCTGGCAACTCCCTCAACCCGTGAGAGTACTTGGAACACCTAACACGACTCCCTAACAAGGTTTCATCATCCCAAAACCCATATCAATACACCTAACCTCTAAATGGTTATTTTCCGGTGAAGTGTTAACCTTTGGCCTCTAAGTTCGTTATTGGACTTAGAACCACCTTCCAACCCCTAATTATACACCTCTAAACATGTAGAACAATCCTATGGGTCCTTCATATGATTTATTAAACCATATGTGATTCATGAAGGAAGGGAAAATGTTAAAAAGATCATTACCTTGATCATTAAAGTTTTTCCTCACTTTTTCCCACTAATTCTTTCTCTTGGACCTCCCTTTGCTTGAACTCCTTTCTTAGCTATGGAGAAAATAATTTGAATGGATTCTTACTCTTCCTTGGATGGATTGGCCGAACTATAATTCAATGATGGGGGAGGAGGGAGAGTGGTTTATCTTTGTCTCATTTGGTGTCTCAATTTGTCTCCCATCACACTCATCTCACTCTCTAGTTCTAAAGGTGACTTCTCATGCCTATTGTGAGACTTCAAAACGTGAGGTGGTCCCCATTTAGGTGGGACGTCATCCCTTTTAGTCCCAATGCGTACACTTGGTCCCGAAAATTGTATTTTATGGACTGTTTTAATTAGATTTCATTTTATCAGGCCAAACAAGTTATATATCATTTTCCGAATTATTATGGGCCTCTAGAATGAATATGTATTCCCGAATTTTAATTTAGGGAAAACTATCAAATAAGCCCCCGTACTATACCAAAAAAGTCAATTAGGCCCTCGTACTTTACAAACACTCAATTAAGTCCTCGAACTATTAAAAACGTTCAATTAAGCCCTTTTGGTGGGTAAGTAACCGATTTCCCGGTTAAACGACGACGATGGTGACGATGTGCTCGAACTCCAGCAACAACGGCTTCCGGGAAACAGGTTACATTTAACCGGAAAACCGGTTACTTACCGACCGAAAGGGCTTAATTGAACGTTTTTTAATAGTTCGAGGACTTAATTGAGTGTTTGTAAAGTACGAGGGCCTAATCGACTTTTTTCGGTATAGTACTAGGGATTATTTGATAGTTTTCCCTTTAATTTATTGGTCCTCGGAATTTGTAATGGGCTGTATTCGGCAATCTGCCAATAATGGTACATAGGTCTCGTTTGATCATTCGGTCAACTCTATGTGGTTTCTATAGCCCATCATAAATTTATGTCATCATATAAATATTATCTAGACCAAGATAAATATAATATGTGATTCCGGAAATATCGGGTGGCCCGCGCTCCCAATGTAAAAGTACCAAAAAAAAATTCCGAAAGCGGGGACCACCCGATA